GGCAGAGGAGAAATCATTCAGCAGCTTTCAAAAGGAAAATGGGATACGCTTGTAGTAGAGGGGAAATACTAAGCCACGCGCTTTTGAACAGTTGAGGGTTTTGAACGAGACTGAAAATAGCAAACTAACCAAAATTTGATGCCAGCTGGGTTTTCGCAGCCCTGACCCGTCATACATCACACTGCACATCCTACAGGCAGACCCTGAGTAAGACCAGGGATGTCGCTGTTATGAAACACTTCATCATTAACTATCATTCAAATGATTGGGTTAAGCTGCTTCACTGCCAATCTCCGCTAATATTATGCCAAATATTACAGCGTTAGGCTAATTCTATAATAAAGAGCGAACTGACAGTTGTTTCAAATAATCATAAACATGCGACTGAATAATCATTGTGACAGGCCGGAGAATGGCTGCCAATTAAATCCTCCATAAACATTGATATAAAGCCCAGCTATGACAAGAATAAAGCTAGCTGATTTATTTAGTTATTTATTTATTTAGTTTCACCTGGAAGGCATTTGGTCATTTCATTTTTAAAACCCTAAAGACTATAAATACTTTTTTTAATAACTGAATGTTTTGTCTGCTGTGTAATAAACATGAGGAAAATGACAGCTCTGATTAAACTCTCTATTTGCTGATGCATAACACTCTTCAGTTTTACAAAATTGTTTGAATTTTTAGGAGTTTATATATACATATAAATGTTCTAGTAAATTAAGTCAGCAAAACTGTGCAATCAATCTGAAGTTTACCCTTTCAAGACAAACATATTGAGTTTTTAAGTGATCAATCAGTTTTTCAGATAAGTTATGTCTCATTTAATCCCAGCTGTCAACTCCTGTTCTCTTTTTTTGTTTCTTAAAAAGGATGTTAACTTAAAAATATTGCCAGCATTTTCACCATTTTACATCAATTTCCAAAGTACTTTTGTTTCTTAAATTAAGGCAACATCTGGCTAAGGGAAGATCATTGATTTCACAGAAGAGAAACATTTTCTTTCAAAGCAAGAAAAAAAAGATTAAACAAAAAAATAAATAAAAACAGATCACATTTAGAAGCTACTAGCAAATGCAACAAACAAACAAAAAAAATGTGGCACATTTATGTCTGAAAGACATGAACAGGATGCAAAATGTAAAGTGAAAACATGAATCACTGCCCTTGAGGGCTTTTTTTATTTTGGAAGTAGCTGATAAAATAAAGCGTATTTTTAAAAAAGACTAGTTTGTATTCACTGATGTTTCCTTACTAAAATCTACTTCCATGCTCAGTTGCCTGTATTTACTCTTGGACCTGTTAGGCCGAGCAGCAGAACAGGAGAGGAGACTCTTCTGGCCTTCACAGTATCTGCCTGGAAGACTTGATTAAACAGGACGAGAATTGCTCTTGGTATTCCAGCCTGGCACAAGAGGTAAAGGTTGAAGTCAACCAACACACACTGGCAATACACCGAAGGCCTTCACTACAACACTTGTCATTGGCAATGCACACTATTGTGATTCGTTTCCCATCCAAGTCATCTCAACTTTGCCATGCTTCTCCTCCTGCATACTTTGTCCTAGAGCTGCCATTGTAATTTATATCTGTAAAGCTCCTGTGCCAAATGATGGCTATGCCTTTTGGTGCCTGTAAAACTTATAGTTTATGAAATATTAATGTTTAATGAAATATAATGGCAGTCAATGGAGCCTTGTATTGGTCCAATACTGCCCCATGCTGTACTCAACTTGGTACTGCACCATAGTTTAATATTTCAACTCAGTAGTTGAGTGTTTACAGTACTAATATGATTGCATTTTGGTGTTTTACTATATTATTGTCTTAATACTGCTTGATTGTTGTAATATTATGCATTTTTGTGTCAATGATTGTATTGGCAAGGTGGCGTCTTTCTGCACACATACAAAACAACCCCTGCCACCATCTTCTTCCAAAGCTCCACTGGTCTAATGGTTTATGTCATGGACTTTCATGTGGGAGATCAGGGTTCAAAACCCAGCTAATGCAACTTTAACAAAAAATCTCTTCAAATTTCATATTGTCACACAATTACCTTAATTTCAAACACCTGCCAACATGACAGGCACAAGCTGGTGTAGAAAACACATTTGAACTTGGTCAAAGTTCATTCTGAAAGTCCAATGCTGCAGACAAAGCCATGCTACATGGCAATGCACACTTGTTTTTACATCGTAAAAACCCATGTCTAGTTTTAATTTTAATGTTTATGGCACAGACCTAAAGAAATTTTAAAAAGCAGCCTTTGCAGAACACATGCATTTAAAGTAAAACAAGTCGCATATGTTGTATAATTAGAACAATCGCTAAAGATGGATTCTCCTCTCTTTTCTCTCAGTTTAAACACCCCTCTGTGACGGGAGCCCAGAAGTGTCACTAAATAAAAAGAGGAAAGAAAATATATGTTTCATCTTTTCTTTTAGTTTTCTCTTTTTTTCCCCCTCCAGAGAGCTTTGATTCAAATAGATTCAGTCAGCAGAGTTATTACATGCAAAAAAACACAAAGACACTAATTCCTGTTAACAATACGGCCCCGGCTCCGTTCACGTTCTGATTGATGGTGTCTGCCTCCAGGATATCTCACTGATGAGACGGTCCAAAAATAACCAAACTATTATTTTAAAAAATGAATTCGAAAAAAAAATCAATTACATCACTTCAGGACATTTTCCAAAAGTGTAAAAATCATTAATTAGGTCCAGCAGATATTGCAGATTTTATGTACATAACCATGTAGTCCTGTTTGTTTCTTTGTGTAGTCCTCAAATAAGTCACACACATATTTTAAACTGAAGAAAAAATAATAATTAAAGATCTAGCACTCACTAGATCAGCTGCTGTGTCTCATGTCAGAGTTTTAAACTAAAAAACATCTGATGAGAAATGAGGGAGTTGGAGCCACTTTTGGTCAAACCTTGAAAATAATGTTACGCTGAATCTCATGCATCATCACAAGACGTTCTGCTCCAAACACTGATGAGTTCCCAACAGATAATGGCCAATATGAAAGCAAGTTACAAAAAGAAAACAACCCAAAAATGGAAAACACGTATGCTTTATGTTCACAGAGTCGAGCCTTGCGTTTTACTTATCGGAATTTTGCGTAAACAGAGAGCACTAATGAACGTGGCATGTCTAACTCAGGTTCTAAGAAACTCATCAAACACACACTTGCAAACTATCTGGATGAAAGTATTACTTTGAGAAGCAGAGCGGGCATATCGCAACGCTAAGCAATCATAATCCGCACTACACTTGCAAGAGGTTTCATCACCAACGTTCCCTCCCTATTGCAAAAAAAAAAAAGAGGGGAAAAATAAATATATATATACGTATTGATCTTTTCCCTTCCTTCCTTCCAGGCATTTCTATTTCCCAGTGCAGCTTAAGCAGCACTTTTGTGGACAAATCCCACATTTGTGTTCCTTTCTGGAGGCTAATAATTGTCCTGAATAGGCGTAACTACTCCCAAAGCACAGCTGTGTTGGCCATACAGAGGTGTCTGTGGCCAGAATGTACTCTGCGCGGCGTAAAGTCTTGCTTCATGTTTCATCAACCTCACGTATCCTCTTCCACCGGCACCGCCTGCCCATTCTAAGCGACGCTACTGGGTAGGAGTTGTGAACTCGGTTCACCTTTACGGCATTCGGCACTGTTTGATCCCTGCAACCTCGATGAAAGATGAGATACATCTAAGCACTGATCTGCCGTGTTTCCCTGCCTTCATCACAACACCGCCAGCCCCGTCCGACGCTTATACGGACCGTCATCAACCTTCCTCGTTACCTGCAGAGAAAGGCAGAGATGGGCATTACGCTTTATTGCAAAGCCGAGCTTCTGATGTACGGCTGCCCTGTCTGCTAAACACACTTCAATGCCCCCCTGCTCGCATGAGCAGAGATGATGAAATAAGTTGGGTATCTGAGCAAGAACAGGCAACTTCTTCCTCTTTAGCCCTGCATGCGTGTGTGCTCAACAGTTTCCAAGGTGACTTTTCGAATTGCACTGAGACTCTCGGCGGATAGGTCATTACCTGCACCTTCTACACGCCTGATAGGAAGCACGTTTCATCATGTCACACACACAGGGAGACAAGAGCAGCTGTCAACTCGAAATGTGAGAAATGTAAGCGTTAAATTGTCATGACTCTTTAGTCTGTAGCATTTACTGCCCAGCGTGCCACATTTACCCAAATGTTAAAAAGCTGATTGAAATCAGGTGGTGTTTGCATCTCTCTTTCTCTACGCATTCAGCAATTTCTACAGGAGCCAAATTAAACAGGTGAACCACATTATCACAACACACAAATATCTGCTTATCGGGCAATTTTACAAATGGCTTTGACATCGCGGTTGACACCTGAGCACTCAGTCTAAAACCGTGTTTTGTTGATGTGCAAGCCCTGACAGCCGCTGCAATAAAAAGAAGACACATTTCTCTCAGCTGAATGTTGATGAGTCTATTGATAAATGCTCATCACTTGATGCTCGTGGCTTGACTCGAGACAGATGAGCAGCACCGTTTCGATCCAGCTGCCTTTATTAACGACGGCTTGGTGATAAACATCGACCCCCTCATCCAGCCAGCAGACCTTTTGTCCGGTGGTGCCATATTATTTCAGGGTGGGATTCTGAGAAAATACATCATTGTGATGATTCAGCATAATGATGATAAGAAAAAAAATAAAAGAACAAAAATCGCTTCTTGCTTGTTTGCTTTAAAATAAAGATTTAAACAGTCCTGCCATGACGATGAACTTGTATTAGATCCAAAAACAAAGGGGTCTCGATTTGCCTATTGTTACAATTTAACTAAATGAATTGTCACTTTAGATGACAACACGATGATCTGAAAGCGATTTCCTGGTAGATTAAATTAATGCATGCACAATAATAATAAAAAAAGGACAACAGTGCTCGGGTTTAAATATTTGCCAAATAAATGACACGAGGGGGGAAATAGCAACAACCAACCTGGTCTCGTTAAACCGCTGGCTCGGCTCGATCGTCTTGCTCCTTTTTTTTTTTTTTTTTTCTTTACACACAACGAGGTGATGAAGCAGCAGGTTTGACCAGCGACAAGAAAGCGCATGAGTTGACAACCGGCCAAACCATTAAAAGATACATCAAAATGTGCTCTGACAAAGACGTGCGGGCGAAAGAAAATGATCGCGAAGGCGACCCGCAGTACCCCGGGGTCGCACGCTTTTCCTCTGACATTCCACGACTCAACCTCTCGGCGTCAGATTGTGAAAGTGGCAAACAACTCCCCGCCTACAAAAACAAGTGAGGAAATCCCCGTGCTGCTGCTGAGCCTGTCTACCACCACAGCTGGGCTGACTGTGACAACAAAGCGCCATGTTTTCTCGCTGTTTTTGTGGAATTAAACCCGTGGATGCGCCAAGTCTCGCAACATGACGCCAATTCTTTTAATGTTTTTGTTTCGTTAGCTAGCGGCTCCTCGCAACTCAGCTTTCTTTATTAGAGGAATTATAACCAAACAGGTAACAGGTTGAGATTTTCAAAATAAAGCCCCTTATATGTAATAATAGTAACCGCTTGGGTGAAGCGGAAACTTTAGTTTGAAATCCGCTTTTTGGTATAAAGAAGCTAACTTGACAAGCTAACCATGCTAAGACAGGTGAAGGCATGCACACTCAGCATAACACCGCCGACTGCTTTGCTTTCCAGACTTACCTGACTGGGGGAAAAAATACTTTTCTTGAAATTATAGCCGTCAAATTACTCTTTTTAACCGTCCGTGCGAAGGACCAAGCATTTGAGGCGAATTTAATGTCGGTTTCACTGAGAAAAAAAAAAAAAAAAAAAGCAAGGTCCATGTAGCAGCTCGCGCTCTACGCTTTCTTGTGTCGAAGCCAGACGTCATCGTGTTTGGTCACGTGCCTTCATTCATGAAAGGTTTTCGGTCAGAAAAAGCAAATATTTAAACTCCAAAATCCAACTTTTTTTTTTTTTTTTTTTTTTTTTTGTGGTGCAGGTTAATTCCCATCAGACGACACAAGAACAGTTTAAACACATAGCTTCATGATTTAAAATGCAGACGGTCTAAACAAAAGCATAATAAAGAACTGCAGCAACATGAACATATTACCATTTTTAGAAATTCAAAGATGCGCTTCAAAAGCGGTCAAAAATTTATTTATTCTTTAAATGTTAACCCTCCCATTTATTAAAAATAGCCTTCCGTTCCTAACAATGAAAACACCATTTATAGTAGAATGTGTGTAATGTCTTTTACACACCAAACACTCAGACACTATATAATACCAAATCCAAAGTGATAAGCTTGCTACTTAACCACAAACCATTATCTTAGTTATTTTCTCAACCAGTTAAAAAAAATACAAGAATATTGTTCATACATTTTCTTCCTTTATTTTAGCATCCCCCCTAAAAACTGTGACTTTTCATTTGTGTTTTCTTAAAAGGTCATTTGCAACAGTGTTATCTGAAATATGTGCCCAACCAGCTGTCGATAGTTGTTTCTATACAGCATTAGCACAGACATTTAAATGATGAAAGAAAGATCAGCTCTTCTTGGTCCTTGGTTTAGTGTTGTTAAAAACACTGATCCCATGAGATCTGACTCCAACAGTATCTGCGGTGACTCCTGGCTGCTGGAGAACTTTATCCAGAGTGGTCTTCTTAATGGCAGCTGGAGAGATCTTCTCTTGGTCAGCCAAAAACTGAAGCTCCCTTTCAAAACACACATTTACACCACAGTGTATAGCATGTATACTCATAGCAAAATAATACTGTTGTGGCATACAAATAATTAAATCATCGGATTAAATTGTTATAGGAGACAACAAAACTCTTATGTGCATATAGCGCCACCTGCTTTTTAAAGTACAAACCTCACATTTAATCATCCCCAATATTTCCCAAATAAAAGCAAATGTTGAGAGTGCTTGTAGGTATTCTCATGTTTTTGTGTGTGTGTGTGTGTTTTGATCAGCATACCTAGTTCTTACACAGGAGGCCTCCACGGCATTGATAAGGAGGCTGCGGAAGCCACCACTCTCCATGACATGCAGAGCGTGGATGGTGGCGCCCCCTGGTGAGCACACGTTGTCTTTGAGTTGCCCAGGGTGTTGCTCCGAGTCCAGCAACATCCGAGCGGCGCCCTTTGGGGAGACACAGTGACGGATCTGATTATTATGTCACAGCACGGCCTGTCTGGCAGAGGCTGAGCCAATGTGAGAACTTAAGCATAAATCATCACAAACGTCAATAACTGAAGCGACTTTGTACAGAAGGCTGGAGCAAGATTCCCCTCAGAAAGATGAGAGAAAGTGAAAAAAATCAGTTATTTAGAGTCAATGGGCCTCATGCAAGAACATGTTCCTATTTTTATCCTAAATTTCTCTTACTTTTGTTCGTACAAAGGGTTCGTACGAACATGTCACGTCAGATTCAACAAACTCTTCTATCTTCAGG